GGCTAAAGAGAGGAGCAGATGATGGTGAGAGGGTCAGAGACAAGCACAAGCCAGGCAGAGAGAGGTGTGTGGAGGACTCCAGGCAGGAAAACCTGGGAGGGGTTGCTTGTAAGAGAGCAACCCCAAGGGGCTGAGGGGAGGATGAAAAGGACAGGATGTAAACTGAGTCCAAAGTGTGCTCAGAGGAGTGCTTGGATTAGAGAAGGGAAGACAGCCCCCTGGGGAAGAGGAGCTGGGCCTTGCTGGAGACTGGGGCAAAGAGTTTGTGTTTTGTTTTTGGAATTGGATACCCTGGAAGGGGTGGATTTTTGTTAATGTCTTAGCTGGATGGCCAAGTCATTGTGGGGAAACTGAGGCAGGGATGCTGCAGGGCCACCCCAGGCCATGGGGGAAAGGGGACTCTGGAGGTGGTAACCCCGTTGCACCCTGCCATATGGGTTGGCTGTGGTTATATCTGAAATATATCTATTTTAAAAAGTAGTAAAAATCAATCTCAGAGACCCCTGACAACTTTTGTGGGTTTAAACCCCATTTGCCTGCTTTTAAAAATGTCTCCGTCTCCCTTGTTGCTGTGTGAAACAACAGGGGGAACTGACAGAGTGACTAAAGAAACGGCCTATGTACAAATGCACAGCGTGACCACATTAAAAATACAGAAAATATTTTCTCTCTCTAATTTCTTTTGGTTACGGTTATTTGAGAGGTTAGCAGTAACAATAGCAGGTGGGAACATTTTCAGGCAGCACTGTGATTTAAGTTGATGGTGCCCCTTTAAATTCAATTGGGGTTCTATAGAAATTACTCTAGAGGCCTTAATTTCTATAGAATTTTCCATAAGGAGTGCATTAAGCTAATGCTTAGCCCCAAAGCAGTGGAGAAATCTCAGATCTGGGCACCGTAATGGGTATGTCTATATAACCCTTGGGTTATGTAACATTTCCATTGTCACCCTGCCCTCAACCAACAAGCATCATGCCTGTGAATGTATTTCCATCCTCAGCTGGAAAAGTCCTCTGGGTCATCTCTAGTCCATCTTCCTGCCAGACAAGGATTTGCACTATACACTAATCTTTGAAATGTTTTATGTAATGTCCGTCTAATAGACTGATGCATAATAGCAATGGGCGGGGCTTCCTGGGGCCATCTAAGGTAGCCAAACACATGATCTCAAGGAGGGCTCATCCATGCGGTTTCCCTGCAAAAAGGGACTGTGGCTGTTGATTGTTACTAGTATAATAACCAGGATAATTTCTTACATTTGTATGGTGTAGCTCCTGCTTACGCATGCCAAAGGAGTCACAAATTTTACCTAGTGTGGGCAAAAGACACTCCCAGTTACGGAGTCAGTGGAATCACACGAGGGATGAATTCAGCTTTCTCTCTCTAGATGAGAATTGTGTCAGGTACCAGTGAAATGCAGCCACCTCTTGGGTGGCACAGGTAAGCTGTTCTACAGCTTGCAGCAACAATACCTGATGGGAAGTGAAGATGAGTCTCACATCCAACTGAAACAATGTGAGAACATAGGAAAACATATGTACTCAAATTTGAATTTGGCCAGGACACAACAATTAACCGTCCCAACGCTTATGAAAAGAACCATGGATCTTTGATGACTACAACAAGTGGATGGAATATGTTGTCCTAAAGATGGCACAACCCCTTAATGCCACACTGGGGCACTGACTCAGGGAGACTAGCACCAACGTAATGAGTCACCAACATCAGACACGGAAGCGATTCGGATGGATGAGTAACCTCCGATTGAAGAGCTTGAGAAAAACTGGTGGTAGCAGGCTTCTAATGAGAGTGCAGTCTGCTAAAATTTTTGAATAATACCATTCACAAGTGTTAATTAATGCAGTTTAGTCTTAGATCTTCCCAACTACCCCCACTTATACCTGTCCCCTTCCTACTCTCTGGTGCACATGCGCACACATTTGAAGGGAATGATCTGCCTCAGGAACTTTTGTGGCCTAATATAGCCCTGCCTGGCTTTATTTTTATTTTGGGCTTGGCTTTGCTTTTCCATGAACCTTACATGAGAGTTTTAAAAAGTAAAATTTGGCTACTGTGTCAGTGTTTTGTCAATGTCACTTCTACTACTTAATGCTGACTAACTTTGTACATATTTTGGCTAGTTTGGGGGCCCTTGCAGATTATTGGGATGGGGGCAAACTTTCTCTTTGCCCCCCTGTAGCTCCAGGCCGCCCTGCCCCCGAAAAGCCCCACAATGCCCCTATGCATTGTACCATTCGACACATGCGCGCGCGCACACACAATGAAGTCATCCTGGGAGACCGGCCGGCTTGGCAGCGCAGACTGACCGTTTTCCCTGTGTTGGAAGGAAGGCGAAAACTCTTTGGCAGTGATCCTGGCAATCCGAGCTTCCTCCTGAGCTTTCTGCGCTGCTGTCACAGCCGCGTCTGCTTTAGCCCTCGAGTGGGAAGTCCTGCAAGCGAATGGGAGACAAAGACTAATTCGGTATCTGTTATTCGAGTGGGAAAGAGGCATCATTCAAAGAGCTGCAGCAGTAGCAATGATCACTGCCATCCTAGCTCAGAGCCCCCTTCCTCCCCACCCCCCTCGCCTCGACTAGTTACCTAGCTAAACACAGAGCTTTTCTTCTGGGTCTAGGCACCAGCCCTGCCACTGTCCAGTGCCCTGCTGGTGGCCACTGTTCTTGAACCTGTTTCTGCAAGAGGGACCTCACATGGCAAACAGATCAGCCCTGTTTGGAGCTACAAAAACCACACGTTAATGGGAACCTCTCCCCATTAGACAGCCCCCACTGTAACCCTGTGTCAGGGTTTTGCTGTGGCAGTTGTTCGCAGCAAAGGAATTAGTCTAGTTGAAAATATTGGGTATCCAATGTGCACTAAGAACTCGGTCCTTGGAAGTGCCGAGCAACTCCAGGCTAGGCCAAGGGCCTTCAGCTTGCCCGGAAAAGATGGTCATGCTCAGCCTCTCCAGGAGGCACTCAGGGCTTGCCGCTCCTAAACCAGATGGGCTGAGCAACAGACAATCAACTGGCTCATGAGCATTCTGAGTAGTAACACTGATGCACAAACCCGACCAAAACGCCTTCATCTCCGAACCGGAACTCGTGGGTCACCTCAGCTGGAGCAGAATTATCCCCTGCAGTTGCTAGTTAGAAAACAGTTGCTTTCTGTGGAAAACGTTGACTTTGGGGCAAAAGGTTGTCAGCTTGAAAACTTTTAGTGGAAAAGCCAAAGTTTCAATTGGAAATGCCACCATGGTGCTTCGTGGGAGTTTCATAAAATGATGTATTTCATCAAACACAAATCTCCACTGTAAGACAGTTGACAGTGAGTTTTCAACCAACCCTATCTACTGTACCTTTTTATAAGTCATTATCAATCCATGTTTTTAAAGTCCCAAGTCCTGAACATAACACCCCTTTCCTTGAGGGACTTTTCTACTGACTAATTGTTCATGCAGTGTTCCCAGTAGCCTACATTTTTCTTAATTTCATCCCATTGCTCAGAGTTGCTTGCCCTTCTACAATCCCTCCTTGTTCTTGATGTATGCATCCTTTGACTAATGGTAAACAATTATCCTACCCCCCCGCCCTTAGCCAAGCTATAGATGTACCCTTAAAAAATGTTATTGCCTAGACACTAGGGTAAAGGGAGCATTAGCAATATACTGACTCTTCCCCACACCCCAATCAGTCCCTCCAGCTCCTTCAATCATTTTTGTTGCTGATCTCTGAATTCCCTCGAAGTTTTCCAAATCTGTTTGTCACTGCATGTGCCCAGAACTGAGTGCAGTGCTCTGAGAAACTCCTATACATGGAAAATAAGAATGGCAATAGGATACATTCTACACAATATAGTTTTTTTTTAAAAAGTGCTAAGTGTATCCAAAACAAATGTAGGGGTTTTTCGTGTGTGTGGTCAGTTATTTGAGTCCAGGTTAGAAAGTACCATTATTATGATTTAGTTGGGGATTGGTCCTGCTTTGAGCAGGGGGTTGGACTAGATGACCTCCTGAGGTCCCTTCCAACCCTGATATTCTATGATTCTATGCACCTACATCTGCAGTCATTCTGTAACAACAGGGTACTGTGTAATCATATCAGCACGATGCATAACTGCAGGAAACAGTAATGACCTGTCACTTGTTGACACGTTCTGTTTCTTTCACAAGTGCCGGGTTTATATAAATTGCCTCCGCTGTAGTAGCTGATGGAATTGATATGACTAGTTCTTAAAGAGTTATTTAAGGTGGCAGTGCGAGAGTAGTGGAGATGACACTGATATAGGGAGACTAGATGTCCCAATTATTATCAGGACCAGCCCGATATCAGGGGCTTTGTCTTCTATACACACTATAGCCCCCACCACCCCAAAAAAAAAGTCCTGATGCATGGATGGCATCACTGTGGCCAGTTCCTTAAGGGCTATTTTCCACAGATTCATAAATTAAAAGGCAAGAAGGGACCACCATTGTCTGGTCTGACAGGCATAGGACTCCCCTGAGCTAATTCCTGTTTAAACTAGTGCATAGATTGTTTAAAAAAAAAGAAAATCCAATCTTGATTTTAAAACTCTCTGTAATGGAGAATCCACCATAACCCTTGGTAAACAGTGAGGGTAATTAGCCATTGGGACAAACTTGCGGTTTATTTCCAGTCTGAATTTGTCTAGCTTCAACTTCCACCCACTGGATCTTCTTGGACCTTTTGTCTGCTATATGGAAGAGCCCATTATCACAATTTTGTACCCTGTGTAGGCGCTTATAGATTGTGATCAAGGCACCCATTAACCTTCTCTTTGTTTAAACTAAATCGATTGAGCACCTTGGATCTATCAATATAAGGCGTGTATTCCAATCCTCAAGTCATTCTTGTGGCTCTTCTCTGAACCCTCTCCAATTTCAGGTGCTGCAGCGGCAGTAGTTCTGATAATATGGCCAGTTCCCATACAGTTTCTCAAATATATAAACTCCTTTTAAAAAGTGCTGTAGAAGAAAACAACCGTTCTTGACCTTTGGTCTCTGGAAGCACAATTAAAACACTCGCTTTGACGAGTGCAGCACTTTACACTCCGCCTCCTATCACATTCTCTAGATAGCAAGCAAGACACCCAAAGAATGAGTCTGCTCTTGGTGACTGTTCGTGATGGTGCATGAAACAGACAGGGGACAGTTTGACTTCATCAGCTAGTTTGACCTCAGGGTGCAAGGAGGCAAAAACAATGCAATCAACTGAGTAAAGATGACACCGACAGAATGTGTGCAAAGATCACCAGCGTTCTGCTTTCCCTTCCAAAGGGATTGCGCCAGAGATGCTCAGAGTGCAGAGCTCAGCAGATGCTGGGCTCCTGTCTGTCTCAGAGCTCAACATTGGCAATATTACCATTTTTAACTCCACACACAGCCTAATTCAGCAGGGCCCTGCCAGCCGAGGTCTCGCTCCAGAAACCGCAGGGCACAATGAGCAAGCTTTCTTCTTCGCTGGTGCCAGGCCTTAGAAAGGAAGCTGTCTCCAGGCTGTGCCCAGCCACCTGCTGGAAAACTAGAACTCAGCATGAATCCAGTTCAGCCCACTGGAGAAATTCAGAGTTCAAAAACATGCAAAATGTATAATCACACCTTATTTGGATGGGTCCCTTTGGGATTTCATACGTGCCTATAGCTAGGCTTGGAAGGATTAGCTTTTTCTCAGTAAATGTTGCTAAACGGTGATTTTGCTGTACACACACAAACTGAGAAAAAACATTTCCATCTATACTAATAGACAGTGACAGGAAAATTAAGAAAAATGCTACTTAAGAACTTATCCTTAAATCAGACTCAATATTTACTTTGTCTATTTTGACATGTGATGTTGACAAGTAGTGTTTTAATCATTATAAGGCTTTAACTGTTTGAATTGCAATATCTATTGCCACTAACTATTGTCTGACCTCCTCCATAATTTCCTGCAACTGTGAAATTTAAATTAAAAAAAGCTCAAATATAAGCCTCAAGATTAGCTGCTAAATTCACAACAAATAAAAATTCTAGATCTAGCTTACAGTCAGGGCACCGGTCAGCTCTGGTAGCTGCCTGGCTGGGGAAGCTCTGAGGTGCCATTGTCTGATATAAGTGGTGGTGGTGGTTCATTTGAGTGCTTTTCCGTCTGTGTCAGTACTGAACCAGTGCTCCATAATGTCCTGGTCCAAAAGTGTGGACGGAGCTTCTGGACGACCACCACAACCACCTCTACTTTGCATTCCAATTGCAAGGTGCGCCTCTTGAATAAAAACACACAGCACATCATCCCCAAAAGTATCCACACAGGCTCTCCCTGGAGAAGGTACTACACGTGACAGAGGCTTGTATAAACCAAACTCCTGAGACAAAGCGTGCGTCTGCATTGTGATAAAAACCCCACGGCACCAAGCCACAGAGCCCAGGTCAGCTGACTTGGGCTTAGGCTGCAGGGTTAAAAATTGCTGTGTAGATGTTCAGACTGGAGCCTGGGCTCTGAGACTCTCCCCCTCACAGGGGTCTCAGAGCCCAGGTGCCAGGCCAAGCCTGGACGTCTACACTGCCATTTAATAGTCTCGCAGCCTGAGCCCCGCAAGCCTGAGTCAGCTAACTTGGGCTCTGAGACTCAGTGCCGTGGGTTTTTTTTTTATCAGTGTAGACGTACCTCAAGAGTCTCCTAGAATTGTAGGACTGGAAGGGAACTCGAGAGGTCATCTAGTCCAGTCCCCTGCACTCATGGCAGTGGTAGACGAAGTGTCCAGTGTGCATATCGGGTGGTTTACATTTGGGATCCCTTTGGAGTGACATATAAATATATCAACTTACACTATTATGTTAGAAAGTAAGGACTAGAGACCAGTCTTTGATAGTAAGTGAAGTTCATCATTTTCACTTTTATTATTACAGTACTGACTCGATTCCATGATCAGGACCCTGTTGTGCTAGGCACTGTATTTATAGCCTATGTACATATTGGTCCCGTCCCAAAAGAGCTACCATATAAGTAACAGACCTATAGCATACATAGGGCTGGATCATCAGCTGATCCAAATTCATACACCTCCACAAAGGATCTGTTTCAATTCACGTTGGCTGAGGATCGGCCTCATAGCCGATTCTCATATCGCACTGAGGGCTGATGGTGTGTGGCCAGCCTTGGGATATAATGCCCATAGTTGCACTGACAACTGGAGGTTGATTTTCAGTCCAAGGTGCAATAGTTTTCCTGGTGCCCTAAAACCTTGGCTGCTATTTATTAATCATATTTATTTATTAAATCGTTATTAGTTCTATAGCACCAACTGTGAGCTAGCCACTGTTCACACAAGTCTGAAGACATGGCCATTCCCTCAAAGACATTTTAGGGCAGATGTGATGCTACCAAAGGAAAATGATTCAGCCAGGAAGTTTAGCAAGGCACTTGTTAGTTCCATTATATTTGTCCAGAGTGTT